TGATACTGGGTGCACAGGGGCTCTTTCCACTCTAGGTAGTGGGTTTGTGGGTCTCAGGGGATTAGCAGAACCCTGAGAAAATACTTGCCAGACTTGGGAGATGGAGAGGAAGGAGGGTCTTGCTTTCAAGCAGCCTGAAGGCGGTCTCAATGACTGTAGCAGCTCTTCAGTGTAGTAGTGCCAGTGGCAGAGAGACTTCACTGACCTTCCTAGTGGTCCAAGCACCTCGGGAGGGGAGGGGGGAGGGGCAGTGAGTGGGACAGGAGATGAGCTTTGTCAGGAATGGATTTCAGGCGCCACAGGGTGCGCCAGTACTGGCCTCAGAGGATAGCATTGTGAGGAAGTGGACGACAGGGTGTCCAGGCCTCGCCCTCTGTCCTTTGGGACCCAAGGTCAGGCCATCCCCCATCCTGGTTTGCTCCTAGAGGACAAGCACATCAGATGGGTTCCAGAGGGAAACTGAGTGCTCTGCCTCAGGCTGTGAAGACGCTGCCACCCGCGTTACAAAACACGCGTGAGTCAAGGCGCTTGAAACGCCCCCTCACAGGCAGCGCCGCCGCGGTGTGCCAGCCTGACGCCCCGTCGGGGCCGCGTTTGACTGGCAGCCAGTGCTGGCCCGCCCAGAGTATCGGTGCATCTCTCCCAAAGCCAGAGTTCAGCACTGCATGTTGACCAGGTGGATATCCTGTAATATAAATGCTCGTTTGGATCCAAAAGGAAAACCATTAAAAATAAAAGAAAGATGAACAACTTTAATGTTTTTTTTTGAGGGGGTGGGATTCAAAGAAAAGAATAAATAAAACCTTGTTCTGAAGAATTAATCGGCCTGATTCCCCTCATCACTCAGTGTGTTTCTTTGCTCCCACGGAAGAGGGAGATCGGGGGGGTGACGCCTTGCCAAGACTCTGGGGGTAAGTGGGCGGCAGTTTCTGGAGGTTGCTATCTGCTCAGCTACTTATGAGGAATTCCAGAGTTTCCCAAAGTTCCAAGGACATCCTGGTCCTAAAAGATTTTCTTTTATTATAAATGTCCTTTGTCTTAGAGAAAAACAACAACAACAACAAAAAACAGACAAACCGGTTGCCTAAAAGTGAAAAAATTGAGCAGATTTTTCTGATCAGGAAAATACTATCTCCGATCTCCAGGGGCGGACTTTAGAAGTAGGCATCTCTTTAAAAGTAGGTATCATATCTCTTCATGGGACACAGGGCTTCTAGTCATGA